CTCTCTCTCTCTCTCTCTCTCTCTCTCTCTCTCTCTCTCTCTCTCTCTGTGTGTGTGTGTGTGTGTGTGTGTGTGTGTGTGGCTTGCAAGATCTTAGCTAAGAGTCCCATCTCCCTCGGCTGGGTAAGCTGACAGCCATCATTCCTTTTTCACATGATCAGGCAAACCCGTGAGCAGGATAATTAAACAAAATCAAATGAGGTGATACAAGGCACTGGCTTCTCACCTGTCAGGCTATGAAAATGGAAGGGACATGATGCTCTTGGCTTGGTAGCTCTCTATACATCCAGCGGTGGACCTGTGGCAAGGGTCTGCAACCAGAGTAGGTAATAGTCCTACATTCAATTCAAGAAGGATAAAGGACACTGGATTCAGTTTCCAGCAGGTGTAACTCCCCACCAATAGAAAGGAGCTATTAAACCACCAGTATGTTTCCCAGGTATTCTTCTCCAACGCAGCTGCATGCACTCCTCATCTGGCAGGATGGACTGGCCTGGCATTTTGCTTGGAAAACATCCGGGCAAAATGAGTCGCGCCATGGACTGTTTGGCCTGGATGTTTTCCAAGCAAAATGGCAGGCAGGGGTATTCTGCCAGACGCGGCGCTCATGCAGCCGAGTCGGGGAAAAATGGCTGGGAAACGTACTGGTGGCTTAACAATCACAGTACCTCCACTATGAGGATGCACTTACCATGCATAAAATAGGTGGTCTGTGTGACATGATGTTTTCGAGAAACAAAAAAACGAGAGTGGGATACATTGTTTCCAATTTGGGATTATACTCGGACAGGAAACATACCTGAAGTGCTGGATGTCTTACCGTAATGACATTGGATGCAACAACCAAGGGCTTAACTATGATCCTGCCTCTGTATACATTGTTCCTTTCTGGCAGGAAGGATGGGAGGAGACAACTTAACCTGTGCAGATCAACTGAGCGGCGAACATAGCTTTACGAATGGATGGGTCAAGGACTCAAGGATCAATAGGGAGGCAGTTTTGACTTATGCGAAGCTAGCCGTGGTTGCCACCATTGTTTGCTTTTTCATGTACGACATTCATGGGACATTGTCCCTGGCTGCCAACAAGTGCTCCTTGCAACAAAGAGATTGGAGCCATATTACAAGTGGTGGCCTCCAATTAGAAAGTCCTTTCTGACTGCAGTGAAACTGAAGGCACATGCTATAATGTTAATGGGTAAATACTAAATAGTAAATACTAAATACTAAATAATGTGTGTGTGTGTGTGTGTGCGTGTGTGTGTGTGTGTGTGTGTGTGTGTGTGTGTGTGTGTGTGTGTGTGAGAGAGAGAGAGAGAGAGAGAGAG